TGCTTATAACGAGTTGGCTTCCCAGCCATCTCCACCCTGCGTCATCTTTCCTTCTCTTACTTACATTTGCTAATGTGCTCACTGCCTTCTAGCCCATGTTATTTATCAATAAAAATGTAGTTGCTGCTTCCCTTTGTCTTCTGATATTATACACCGTTCAGATTGTTATAATAACGGTTATCAAGACGATCGATTAACGAAGCACTACACTACAAGTGTAAGGCACCTGATACAACTGCAAAATAGGAAAGAAAGGCAGACTGAATTCAGAGTCTGATTTGGTCTATACATGCAAAGGGCCCACGATGTCTGAGTGGGACGCAGATGTGTTCGATCGTGTCAGATCATTGCAAGCGAAGGTTTGAGCAAGAAGTCTTACAGACGTATATAATCTATGTGCCATGCGTATTTCACAGGGATGACTGTTCCATTTTAGTGCATAATTGATGAGGAAGAAATTTCCTCGAGTTTTTTGCCTGTATTTTTCAATTTCCAATCTAGATACTTTGTCTTGAAGTTCGTATGCATTTGAGCAACGGGCAGGAACTATATTACTTGTGGAGTAAGGTTCTTGAGGATTTTGAGATAAAGAATCAAATTGGTTCTAAGCCTTCTTTTCCAAAGGGGTTTTCGTCATAAGATATGTATTATTACTTATTAGGAAACGTAAGCTACTATTTAAATACAAATATGCGATTGAAATAAAATGACTATGGGTTATTCATCTAATGAATAATCAAGGGCAAGTGTGGATATTACAAAACAACTTATAGTTGTTGACCTTAACTTGCAAAGATTAAAAGTTAATGGTTATTTCCAGGCAATATCGTGCAACAATTTTAAACCAGAAATAAGACTCGTATGACTAGAGAACTCGGGGAACTTAGTGAAACGATACAACTGGCAAAAAGCTTACAGTTCATAGTTTGAAAACTTTGAAGAGCAGGTAAAGCTTCATATTTTCTGTAACCATTTTATTTAAGTAAGCAATGATACTTAATAGTCCATTTTGGCTATGATTTTTAAATCATAAGCTCAGTTCGATACCTTTGACAGCAAGTGCAGCCAGAACAAAGTTTACTTGTAACAAGTCATTGCTCTTTGACATCTTTATTTTACACATGTCATTTATATTATGTTTACTCAGTGGATGGTCTCAACCACTTTTTCTTTAGTAACGTGAATAAATAATGTACATTGCCGTTCACGCCTCTCTTCCATAAACAACTTTAGGATTATGATATTTGATATAGTATCGACATCAGATAACATTGTTTTAACTCTTAATTTTGAATCCTATTTGTTTGAAAGTCGCAAGCATAAATAAGTGAGCATAAAAATGGTTTATAAATATAAAAGATCTAAGTAATATAACACTGAGTGGGATAATATTTCTACTTCTTACCACAATCATTTTTTTAGATTATCACTAATGCTGCTGTTAATCCATTTTCGTTTAACTTATTTGATCCTCTTTCGGTGACATGCAGCATGTTCAATCATATACTTTGTCGAGGTAACCATTCACTACCTACGGTATGGACTGGATTTAAGAGCTTTATCCGATAGTCACAAATATATTTTATTATACATCTCAATACTGTGATAAGTTTCATTTTTTAAATCAATGTCAGTTTCTTATTATCCAAAGCTCTGGTTAAGTGAAGTAGTAGATTTTACTAGGATTAAATATTATCTGGATAATTCACTTCTAACTTAAAACAGGTGAACATGAGGTTTGATGGACAATCAATACGTTAAACATAGGAATCAAAGGTGTAAATATTGGTCGTCATAATTACAATTATGAGAACTAAGTGGGTAGAACGTTAATAACCTACAAATAGAATAAACAACCGATTGATTCAATGTGTACTTGAGTGTGAGTCATACTGTAGTTGCGAGCGCTAAAGATACTACCTGGTTAACTAAACCGAAGTAGGTGAGAGAGTTCGAGCCTAAAACTTAGTGGTTGACACTACTAAGCTTCCCGAAAATAAATACTAATGGACTCTTGATGATTATCGAAACGTGTGATCTATGACTGATGGGAGAGTGAATAACAACTTGAATGGTGACAACCAAACCTCATATTACTTTTTTGAGAGTATTCAGTTTATGTAATCCATACAGATATCGAATAGTTAGTATCTTTAGCTCGTTATCTAGGGTCATGTATTCCTACAACATTGTGAATTTTAAGAACTCGCAATGATCGCTAAGTATCCATTTTCAGAACTTTAAGTATCAAAATTACCAGCCATAACAGAAGTTGCATTATATAGATGAGATTAGATAAAAAGCACTCATGTTTCTTTACTGAATAAAGCCCATTGGTGTTGTATTTTGGCTTTCGTTAAGTATCAAATGATTTTCACAACTATATCTAGTAAAAATTGTTATCTAAAAATTCGACCCTAAAACAACATGAGAATAAAATTGTTATTCACCTGTTTTGCTGCAATTTATTGGACTGTTTAGAACTAGTTGTTAACCTTCAATATTTAGCAGACACCATAGATGAGTAACAGTCAGATGTGCAGAACTAATAAATCTCCACACATTTTTCAATTTATGAATAATTCAACCTAAAAGAGTAGGATCAAGCGTTAAAATCGATTTAGGTCTGAGGGTACAATATGATCTCTTTGTCAACTTTTTGAGAAATTCTAAATGTCAAGTTTTTTAAGCGGTAGAATATATTATTGAAGTGAAACACGTATTAATTGCTAGGAAAACCGAGTGCACGCTAGTTTAGTCCTTATATCAACAAACTGGACATCGAGATCATACACGATAGTAGATATTCTACAGAAATGAGCATTTTTGATATACTTTAGAATTATGGCGTTTATACTAACAAGAATGGAATCACTTAACCCATTCAATTCGAGCGACTTTTGACTATAGAGACATATTGAGGTCATTGTAGAGCTCTCTTTTAGTGACCCAAATAGCCTTGATGGCCGAATTCTTTGCATGAGTAAGACTTACGAAATGGATCTGTTAGTATGAACGCGATACGCCAACATAACAAAGCATCTTTTCGTAAACCTTGAGATGCTGATAACAATGAATAGTCCGAATTTTAATGAGGTTTCGTTCATCCCGACTTCTCCATTTCGAGATAACAGCTTCCGGTCGCTAATTTAAATAGGGAACTGTAGTGTTTGTATGAACCAATGATTCCTTTCTACTTGATGACTGCCTGATTTCGAATTACAAATACAATACGTTCGTTTGTGTTCACTTAATTCTATTTGGCTTTAACTGTGTTATTTCTTAGATTTCTAGTTCGTATAACAATTCAAATACTTCTAATTATCACAGGAACTTCTGAAGTTCGTCTCATTTCCATTTTTAGATTTTTGTGGTCGTAACAAGTCGTGAAATCAATAACATGAAATGATTTAGTGGTCATTGGCATCACTATTAGAACAAGAACAACAAAAAATCATGTGCGACTCGTTCTCTGGAACTGTTTTCACTACAGCACACTGAGAGGGAGTTGTCGAGAGGATTGGAAATAACGATACCAAGAGAAATACTTGGAAATCGGGATCGAAAAAAATAAAAATACCATTAAGCTTGTTTGCTTATAATCATTGATTGGTTGACTCATGGTTACCGAGACATGAAGTCGTCCTACATAGGACTGAGATGGACAGCAACAGATAACGTCAATTTTAGCAATCAGGGACTCAATCTATTTTACCTCTGCTCCAAATAGTGTACAACTTTTAGGCAGGCACGCAACATAGGTCAACTAATCCGGCGGACAAAAACTCATTCTTTTCAAGTGTCACTCTAAGAGCAAAATAAGCAATGTTTTACCAGTGGTTTAGCCACGTACCAGACACTGAACAGCGAAATGGGTTTTTTTTAAATAAACATTTGGATACCAAATAAGTTATTTATAATCATGACTAGTAAACACTTAGAGCCGAAGTACCTCTCCATGAGAGCTAAATAGTGAGTAGATTAAGGATTTTATTTTATTTATTTAAACACATATATATTGGTACAAAAGGGCACCAGGTACATATGCGCCACACAAAATAATGAAAGTAGGAAGGGATGAAAAGATAAGAATTCATCATTTCATTTATTTGTGTGTGGGCTGTGATACTGCCCGGGTGCCCAAACCGAAGCAGGTGGTTTTCTTAGGGGGCCTCACCCCGAGCCTTTGACCAAAAGGTCTGATCCACAAGGCAGTGGAGCATCGTGAGGAGATGCAAGATTAAGGATTTAAACCTATCCAATACTTAGCCTATGCACGACTTGTCTGAATAACCAAATTTTACCACATGAACACCAAGTTCAGAAACCCTTTCAAAGATTAACAAATTTAAATTAACATAATAAAATTTATCCTGAGATGTTTGTAGAATTTCATAAGTGGAGAACCTAAGCAAATATTTCGGATCTTGGTGATCTATTGGCTCTACTGCCTAGTTTGATGTAACGATTACACTAATATTTATATATTTTGAAACACCGGTACATATTACCGGCTATTAGTTGAGCTTCTTATACTAGAATAATAGGACTTAAATAAACCCGTGCTGAATAACTGAAGTACACATCAAAACATGCAAGCTTACTGCACAACAAATCCCAATAATGTCAATAGTTGAAGTATAGTGAGAGTGCACCGACATTCATTATTACTGATTGCTTCAAAATTTACACCTAACAATGATAATTCACGCCTAGATTTGAAAATTTTCCCTATTAAAGTTTAGAGATATTAATGAAAAAGGCAATACGCATTACGCAATTACGGAAAATAATTAGACATACTACTAACTTGAATTCATACCTATGCAGACGAGAGTATACATCATGCACACATAAATGGCGAATATAAAACAGTTAATTAAAAGGTTCAAGTGAGCTCACTAAAGACCATATTATAGAGTTTCCCTGGGAAATACTCTGCTTGAAAAAAAATATATCGCTATCAAGTTACCTAGATGCTTAAAGTCAAGCGATGAATCTAGTTAAAGAAATAAACTCCTGATTTACTGTGAGCACCTGAATAATAGGCTTAGGTGTCTCATGATTTATCCAAATTTGAAAATTCAAGCAAGATTCCTTCTAGTCAAACACAAGAAACAAGCAGAAAGTAGTAAGCTAAAATGTTACTGGTTTGTTATCCAAAGAGAAGACCGTTTTTAATTATATTTCTTGAGAAAAAACTCAACAGGAACGGAAAAAGGAGTATATTAATAGGAAAATAGTAACCAACTTCTGAGCCGTGAGAAAAAAATAATCATACTTTAGTAGAAAGGAAAGTGGAAAAAACATTTAAAACTAAATACTACTAATTATTATAATATAACAGCTCTTCAAGTTTTTTTAATCTATGCACATATTTATTTTTTTCGATAAACACTCACTAGATAATTAGACACACATACAAGTGAAGATAAATGCTGCATTGAAGAAGTAGGAAAGGAATCACAACGGCATTTCTAAAATCAAAGATACAACTTTCATTGCACCTTTCTGAACGTATATAAATACATGGAAAAAACTAATCAATATATTAAAAGAATCAACAAATGAATGAAAACTTCTAGATTTTGATTGCCTCTGGTTCTTTTTCCCTTAATAGATATATTTATGTGATATGCTTCTTTTATCAGTCTCTCGCGTAACCAATTGGTTGAATAAGAGGAATAAGAGCGTTAGCTAGTTCTGGAGTTCCCGCACATATAACATTTCTTGCCATTAAATCTACAGGTTTACCTAAACGAAATTTAGAAAGAAAATATGTAACATTATTGAATTATTATGACACAGTAATTCAATCTAGGTTGCTCGTTCACAAATATAACTGATACATGCAATTAGGAGAGGGATAAGAGTTTGCACATATTGCTAGATAAAACTTATTTCCTAGGCGGATAGTATAAACTGGATGTCCATGTTTCCTGTTTGTACAAATTTATGTAAACTGGTGTTGAAGTTATCATGACCAGAACTGAAATAAAAGGAATGGGTGTATTCAAAGGTTTATAGACGAAATTCCCGGCTGAACTTTATAACACTGGATGGATATGATAACATGGAATTAACGAAATAGTTTTGTATCCATTAAAAGCGTCAAATTACAACTAAGTTTGAGAAAACAATTAAAATTTGTAAAGACAATGCATTCACTAGTGTTTAAAGCCTTCACAAATATTTCCCAAAGTGAAACTAAATGTATATACTTTCGAATAAAGTGTATCAATATGCGTTTGTTACAAACTCGAGTAGAATGTGAACATTTTATCACCAACCATTTATAAGATCAAGTTGAGTTTATCACCGGCAAGCCACCCAATCACTATCAATCGTCCGATTTTGTGGTTTAAACAAGTTATTGTTCCTATAATGTAGTTATTCTTCCTTGTAGAGTTGTAAAAACCAAAAAATGAGGTCACTTTCTTAAGTTTAACTTTGACTGGCGTACTCATCATGTAAGAAGTCTTTGGGTTCAATTAGTAGTACTAAAGATCGAAATGAAAAGGAATCATTTAGGCACTACTATTTTCCACTATTTGTGTGTGATTAACATCAAAAGTGAGTCTACGAATGTACAATCGGTCATTATCGTGGAACCATTTAACTTTAGTCATTACTTACACTTACATGATAGAACTAAGAAAAAAACAATAATGAATCATCAATGCATGATTAAGTGCTTCGCTAGTACGGCTACCAAATCCGATATCGTCTGGTGATCATGTCAATGCCATTTAGATTACAAAATATCAGGTTTTACAAAATACTTGTTACTGGCTTACATTGAGCTAATTCACAAGTCAGAATTCCGTTTGAATGAGAGTATTCAAAGGAACTACATGTTGCGCAACTCTACAGTTTCAAAAGACACCTCTGCAATGGGCATAATTTTTTTGGGCTGATAAATATTTCATATTGAAACAAACGAATATGCCACATTCAATACGTAAATATGCATTATTATGATATATAATTATTATTTAAATCGTTTATAATTTAGTATTTACAATAAATTAGATTGATAAACATTCGGAAGTGTTGGGACTTTCACAGTACAAAAGATGGTAGAACCGTATAAGATAGACGTAATGAGAAGTGTTAATAACTCCTAAAGTGAATATTATTGTTACATGCTTGCTAGAAGCTTTCATTATAATTTATTCATTAACAAATCTCAAACTAGAAGTGTTGTTCACTTAATATACTTCTTACCACGATTAAGTAAGATATACACAATGAACACATTATGTTCATAATTCCTTCATTTACCTTACCTTTATTTATTACCGAAAGCAATTTTGGATTTTGAGACAGGACAGGATCACAACATGAGTCACTCAAATGGAAGAAGTGGAAAATTCGTGTGACATTTCACTTTCGTTTACAAACAGAAAGATATATCAGCCTGAGTATTCATGAATAAAAATTGGAGGAACAAAAAGTAGACACCATATATTTAAACTGTGATCATCACTATTACGAATTATACTTAAATATGAATGTGATATACATATATATATAAAGTTGGAACTCAGGAAAAAGCATATATTCTAAGCTTCCTTTTCTCTTATGTGAATAGTGATATTTTCTTATTCGGATAGACAAGTTGTAGCAAGTTAAAAACACAAATAAAATGCACATAATTCACTCAAGTTTCGTTTTACTCAGTGACGCAGTAAGCCCAACAAATTTTCAGCAAGCTCCTATACAACCCAGTTGAATACCACCAACGCGATGGTTAGAGTTGAGATGTTTATGTAAAAAATAACAATTTCATTGTCCCAATAAGTTCTTTTCAAGCAATAGATCATTCATAAGACGATAATAAATAAACAAGTACTGAATCATAGTATATAACTCAAAGTCAATGGATTAAGAATCGGAATTCTGATCCACGTTCTCTATTCTCACCAAATATTTACAAACACAAGAGGAAGTTATTAGCCTGATCATACTGTAGTGAAGGAGAAGACAGGTGAGGACAACCGATTATGTATTTAGCACAAATTACAAAGTTGCTTGATAAAATAGAAAAACCATACTCTGATATTTCATTTGCAAAATGTTCATTAATTGTCTCAGACTCCATCGTTCCTGGATTTCCACATCAATTGCCTTCTGATTTTCTCAATCTTCTGCTGCTAGATATTATGTTCCCAACTCACGATGTATACTACTTATGTCGATATAAGTAGCCAATACCACACTCGTCCCTCCTTCTAATAAGCCATTCTTGCAATCTTTCCGATCACCGTACCGCTGTTTTCTTTGGTGCTGTTCCCGACTCGCACTCATGACGCTGTTGAAGCCATTTCTGCAGTTGACTGGCATCCACACGCTTCTGCTTGTCTTATCTTCCGATCGTGTAAACCGAGCCACGTTTCATCAACTGTCGCGTCACCTTCGCAAGCTCACTGATATCTATAGGTTGTGCGGCGTTTACCAGTCTCAACTGCTGGGAAACGGTAACAGGTACGCTCTCCATAAACTGCGACGCCAACAACTGTGCCTCCGACTCCTCATCCAGATTCGGTAGAGCGTGGCGCAACAACCCGGCCAGTACCAGAGCCAACATCGATCGGCAACTTCGCCACTCGGAACTTCTGCAGTGCTTCTTCCTTGTCCACTGGGCTTTCGAACTCCGCGATCAACCGTTATGTGATTGCCTCCCGTGCCGTACTCCCACAAGCACCGTCTAAGCTGTCATACACAGCTTTCGTTCTGCCCCTGAGCAGCGTCCCTAGCACCACCATCGTCCTAGGCTTCTTCATTCCCACCAACTCCGCCACAGCTTCAAACTCCTTCAGGAAGCCCAGCACATCTCCGTCCTCTAATTCCTTCGATCATGGGATCTTCATCCTTAGTGGAGGCTGCGACACCAAATGTAATAAGGGAGAACACAGGTGAGGACAACCGATTATGTATTTAGCACAAATTACAAAGTTGCTTGATAAAATAGAAAAACCATACTCTGATATTTCATTTGCAAAATGTTCATTAATTGTCTCAGGCTCCATCATTCCTGGATTTCCACACCAATTGCCTTCTGTTTTTGTTGTTCCTTCTCGATTTTCTCAATCTTCTGCTGCCAGATATTCTATTCCTGACTCACAACACATACTACTTATGTCCATATAAGTAGTCCACACCACAATACAGTAGTTTATTACGGAATCCTGAAAACTTATTTTTCAGCATAATACAAATATATAAGCTCGATTTGTTGAAAAAACGAAATCGAAAACTTCAAACTAAATAACGTACCGTCAAAATTACAACAAAAACCTCCTGCTTCACGAACAATTAATACAGCTGCGGCATAGTCCCAACAGTGTATTCCAAATTCGAAAAATATATCACCATTACCTGCAGCAATCTGACACATATGCAAGGCTGCGGAACCCATAGTGCGCACACTAAGTTGCAAAATAAAAAATTACTCAGTCAAATAACTTTTAAACGATAATTTTACGCTTGAAGTACCAACAAAAAAGATATGCGTTGACTAATTTTAGCAATGTTAATTTCTGAAAAAATAAGCTGAATGATCTGGCATGATTTCCAGAGTTTCGCAACTTGAAAATAATCTGGATTTCACAGTCCAGGCGCAATAATGGAAATTTAGGCTGATATAAACAAAACAATGAAAATAAATGCTATATCCTGATGAGGATAATGAACGGTAATTGTTGAAATCTAATTCTGGATTAGTACTGTACATATATTTTTATTGTATAATCGTTAAGTAACTAAACTATTCATATTCGTGTTCCTCTTATTATAAGCTTTATTTTGACCTATGAACTATTATTATACGATTCACCATTCTTGAGTTATCCTCAGTCCATTGATTACTGTTCCCCCTATTCACAGCCACATTTGGTCAAATCTTGTACAAATGTTATCTTCTGTTTTTATGGTGTGATGTGGTCTGTTTGATTGGTATATAAACCGAGTATGTTTGTGAATAATGATTCATACTGCAGAGGCTGTTATTAGTGTTCTGAACTCAACTGGCCGGGCTAGGCAGAAAGCAGGACTGACAAGTGCTCAACACTGCTCATACGGTTTTGTGTATCATTGGATCATATCGATAAAATCACTCCTCTCTAATTGGGTGGTCTTAACACATATATATATCAACTGGGCAAGAACGCACGCAATCGATATAACAATAAAGGATAGTAAGAAGATATTATTACAATATGATGCCGAAAACTTCCGTGATTTATGACTAAAATCCTTATCCACAAGATTCGCTTGAGTCCTAACGTCTTGTATGCTACAAAAAACTGTTTACACAAGTTCCTGGGACAAACGCAAATATTTTGCTAAATTCTAACTAATAACTTGGTGTTTTGACAGAAAATCTATTTGGCACTACAGTCTTAAAAGTTTTTGAACTTAATTATATTATAAATACACGTTTTATTTATCAGAGATCATCAAAATTCATCCGTACAAACTATTCAGATGTTATTTCGGTTATATATAGGAAGAATAACGCGCGTGTTTTTGGTATGATAACTAAAATACGGAAAATGGTATATTAAATAGACCTTCAAATTAGATTTCATATTAGCCGAAATATAATGTACCATTTGTTTAGTTTTAACCAAAATTAGTGCACAAGATACCAGTAAATTTAAGTATGTTTAGTCTAAACTAGGGATTATGCTGCACTGCTGTAGCCGTATCATCAAAAGCCACGTTTTCTGAATACAACATACAAAGAGATACAGAACACTACAAACGTTTATTACTTTAGCTGGTAATTATTATTTCAAGTTAAATGACAACCTAATTATGTGAAAAATCTACTTCTAAGCTTTTGCAGTAGGATGATTAGTAAGTCAAATGTTTTCTGAATACATGTATGCTATTTTGCGGCAATTTTAGTCGGAAAAAAAAGAAAACTTACAACCACCTAATTAAAGTTTCTTGATCTCATCCCATTGCATAATATAAGTAAAAAAAGTGAGGAGGCCTTGTGTATGATCGCTCATTCGGAATAAGCTTAAAGTATAAACTAAGAGTAGACAAGACTTTGCAAGAGCTTGAAAGTAAGTCGTTATGCACGATCGACTGACGAGACAACGATGTACGCTGAAGTTGATTGTCTGTAATTTTTAGTTCAAACATTTGATAATCTATAGTGTCTGCCTAATAATCTTGACTTTTCCTATTCTGTGAGCAACGGCAAAATACATCTTTGAAATCTATTCGGTAAGCCATTGCCAGAGTAGGAACTGACTCACCCCACATTTCCAGGTTACATAAACACCGAGATGAAAGCTGTATTAATAACTAACTATAGGGAACGTGCTTACGCGAAATAATACTAACACTAGATAAAAAATGAACCTATATGTGCCACTCCAACCAGTGATTACGATTGTCAGGCGCATCCCAACCAAGTATTCTGTACCTACTCATATGCTTCGGACCAACACTCAATGACTTTGTAGGCCGATGACATGTCTTGCTTTGATCGCTCCTACGCCAGATACGATCGCGTCCCGAGATAGTTATTGATTTGGCATATGTAACACCTCAGTTGAAGAAGACCTACAGCCTCATCAGCTGACTTTTCATATTCACTGAGTTGTTTTACCACACACGAAGACCTTTATGATCAAATACTAGTACTGTAGAAATGTGGTCTACTTTTGAAAGCCATATTTCACAATCATAGAGTAAAACCCAACAGAATTCTACATAAGTATAATCGCCCCTTAACAAGTAGATAGACATCTCTCCTCTTCACTAATAGATTGATTTTGTTCCATTGACAAGTTGCTACTGTTATTATCCATCCATTGTGATGATGATGACGACAGTGATTGTCTTTACCAACGTGATAAATCAATCGGTCCAGAAGCTTTTCAACTGGACATATTTTGAGATGAATTTGTTAAAATGTCAAAGCTTTCATAAGTAGATTTATCACGCAACAAATCACAAGAGTAAAACCGTGACGGTGCGGAAGCCAATCTAACTTTTGGAATCCGTCACGAGATCTATTCAGTCATTAATCTACAAGAATTGATGAGGTAAGTAAAGTGACCGGAACGCTTGATTACTCTTCTCTCAATTGTCACGCTAGGGCTGGATGCAGAACGGTCCTGAAACAGTTTGCACTAAGAAGGAAAGCGACCCATCCCAAATATTTTTGTACTGTCACTCAAACTGTCCAGGACACCATATATTGTCGGCATCTTTAGCAAACAGAACTATTTTATCTGCAAACTAAAGCAATTGGTGAATCAAATAGTAGGCTAACCCTTGAAAGTCAGACAGATGAAGTGCTATTTCTAAGCGTATATCCGTGAAAAAACTAAATGAATGTATGGGTGTGTTGGACTTTAACGAAGAACAGTGTACAAGCAAAATGCAGTAAGACCTAGACTTTTTGACACTTTTCTTGATGAAAAACACTTCTCCATGACCTCGATAAAGAAAGTAGAATGCCGAGCATAAATTAGAGTAGACCCCATTGACAACTCTACTGTTAGTTATGTACGTAACTAACCAATCAAATTATTGCTTAAACGTCTATCATGTTAATCTGGTCTTGTGTCTGTAGACTATCGCTGTTGCATGTTACCTGCCAATTGAAGGATATTATTATCATATTATATTATTGGCTCATTATTTTTATTCATTTCGATAAAACACGCAATACTGGTCGGTATGTTCGTGCGTTCCACTTGATGACTGTAATTCCTTTAGTTATTGTACTAATTGAATTATTTTCACATTTAGAAACAAAGTTTAAAGCCAAGTTGTCGTTGTTCTGACTGCAGTTTTCACGTAGACTCTGGGAACGTCAGTATCGCGTTTACAACTCTAGTGGAACATCTGTAGGGCAAATTAAACCCTACATTTACTCTCCCTAAAATTTAAACACAACTTCGGACAGGATGAAAACTTTTTTGTTTTACTTGCGTTTCGTCATTTCTTACCTCTTATAATCACTTTTATCGACTTGCAATATCGTTTCTCGGCTCAAGCAGTTAATTTTTGTGACTTATTATATCAAAAACGTTATTTTAGAAGTAATTTAATTATTTTGTTATCAGTTGGATCTGAACAGTTCATTTTAGTCGCCCATATAGTCAGTGATTTGATCTTCAGTGATCCCTAAGATAGATACTTCAAATTACTTGAATAATTATATAAGTGAATCAGTAATTGACTACTGTCAGCATGTTGTGTCGACTAACTATGACAAAGATCGTTTTATTGATACCTTTACTGTTTACATTTATTAAGACTGTGATTTTGTATGTTTATTTCAAGCTATGCTTTGCAGTACCTATCCACATTACATTTCCTATTGTCTCATCTCTACGATATTTCTAGCCAATTAACACCTATTTTTAGTACTAACACGAAACCTCAGTTCGCAAATTTGGTAGACATAACTACTGTAACGACTACATATGTTTGGCTGGGATTAAAACCAATCAGGAAGGAAAGTGCTGAGTAAAATGAACTTATCACTATGACCATTCATATATATCTGAGATTATTTAGCCTCAGTATCAATTATTGAAGTTCTCAAGCCTAGTTCCTCTATCATCTACAAAACAGTAATGCATAAAGAAACGGACAACTGAATTATTGCATGAGCAGAAGCGTTATTCTGGTGAAAGACTAGCAAACTATATCAAAACCACAGAAAGGTGCGCTAGTCGCATTTTAGACTCCTCAAATTTATAGATAATCACTGAGGATGCTATTTGCCCAGATACTACATGCGAGAGGAAAGATTTCCCTCGATTTTGCAAGTCTAATTAAGGTGATCCTCAGTCAGCTTCCTTAAGTCATATTAAGTTATCCGCAAGGAACTCTGTTTATTAACTTTAAGATGTAGTTACTCAATTGATTTTAAATACACTTCCTTGTACAGATTATCTGACTCTGGTTTTTGTATTTAGTGATAATTACTGAGCTAATGGCCATTAAATGATCATTAAATTAATAAATCAACTTCGTCTGTGGTTCCTCCAGGGACTACTGCCGGTTCCCGAAGGGGGGGTTGACATGGGGTTAGCGACCTCATTCAGTAGAAAACTAACTCGCCAAATGGAAAAAATTATTTAAATCTATCTAGGCATCATTGATGAACACGAAGGATCTGATGCAGATGTGAAGACGTGGATCGGTAAAGCAAGAGTAGCATATTTACAACTGAAGAACATCTGGAACTCCAAAAAAATTTTCAACCAACACCAAAGTCAGAATTTTCAATACAAATGTCAAGACAGTTCTACTGTACAATTCTACTGACAATTCCATTGTCCCCAGTCGTGTTCTGTTCACTACATTCGGTGTCGCTGCCAAACAGGAGGAGGAAGGGTGCTGTTCTGCGGACAGCCGCTGCGGGTCTGGAGTTGAGGTGCTAGTTGGGGCAGTCTGGTGCGGAGAGGTGGCGTCGAGTGGAGTGTTCTGGCGGGGCGGCGTTGGCTGTAGATTGTGCTGTCAACGGAGAGGAGCAGTGGGGAGTGCGGCTGCTGGTCCTACATCGAATGTAGATGGATAAGCAGGCCGGTGGAGTACGGATGTTGAACGTCCCAGGTGCCGGGTGGATGCGGTTGTTGGTGCCCCGGCAGGTCGACGGAGCTATGGAGGTCAGCGCGCAGCAGACTCGACATTCTGACGGAGAGTTTGGCACAGACTGCAGTGAAAGAAGATAGTGGCATGGCGAGCAGAACCACCGCATGAACGAATGCTTTAAAGGGGGGACGAGTGTGGTGTGGTCTACTTATATCCACATAAGTAGTATATGTGGTTGGTCAGACATAGAATGTATTTTGGCAGAGACCGATGAGCAAAAAACTGAAACGAAGCGCAATCGGTAGGAAATTGCATAAAAAATGAAATTGGTGAAGAAACGGTGAAGATTGAGACAATTGCTTGTTAATTTGCAAATTGACTGTTCATTGTATGGTTGTCAGAATTTACTGAGATAGTCAGTAATTTTTGCTTAAATACATTCGATTGTCCCCAACCAGTCGTGTTCTGTTCACTACATTGTTCTATTGTACAATTGTCAACCAACACCAAAGTCAGAATTTTCAGCACAAATGTCAAGACAGTTCTACTGTATGGGGCGGAGACGTGGAGAACTATGAAAGCCATCATTCAGAAGATACAGGTGTTTATTAACAGTTGTCTACGCAAAATACTTCGGATCCGTTGGCCAGACACTATCAGTAACAAGCTACTGAGGGAGAGAACAAACCAAGTTTCAGCGAAGGAAGAAATCAGGAAGTAGCGCTGGAAGTGTATAGGACACACATTGAGGAAATCACCGAACTGCGTCACAAGGCAAGCCCTTACATGAAAACCTGAAGGTCAAAGGAAAGGAGGAAGGCCAAAGAACACATGAAAAGAATGAACAATTTGGATAGAAATACAAAGGAAGGCCCAGGACAAAGTAGGTTGGAGAATGCTGGTCGGCGACCTATGCTCCAGGCGTAAGTAAATTATTAAATCACTGGATCGGCTTTGATAAAAACCAATCTTCGTTGATTTTGTCCAATAAGTCTTTATGAACAAGATTCATCCTTTGATGTATCTGGACCTAAAAGAGAGCTGTTATGTACGGTATTCAGGTAGTTAGAGTTACCACTATTATCTTGCTTCGTAACAAGTATCAAGAAATGAGAAAAAAATACTAGAAAATTGTTATCACTAAACAAAATATCAATCCGTATAAATGAAAGATGTCTACGATTTAAAGACAAACCACTAATATATTTGTGCCATGGTAACTTATTCCAATCCAAGTTAGAAACGACGGCGAGACTATAATTTATGGACAACCTTTAGGCGACACGAAGGTGACCTTGGAAATGTTCAACTACATACTGGAGCTAAATAAGGGTAATAAAGCAGTTTGAATATGATGTAAAATTGGTGGTTAGGGATAGGGATTCGACTTATGGTATTCATCACGAACTGGCATCAGCTAAAATGCAAGAACATTATTGATACAAATGGGTGAATAAAACTCGCGCCAAAATCCGAGACCTGTTATCCTGAATCTTAGTGGTTCGTCCATAAGTTAGTCACGCCACAGTGAAAAATGACCAAATATTAATACAATTCATCAAAAGATGAACGGCTTACCCGCGAGCTTTCGATATTATTTGGCGAATGTTGTTTGATTTTATATCTAAAACATTTGGATTTCGGTCACCTCCCCAATCGGTCAAAACCAAAGCCTGAGACAGATCTAAAAAAAGAAGCCTATCAAAATCTTGCTTTAAAAGACATCATACCACCGAGAATTCATATATATTAATGGTATCAAGGGACCCATTAGTAGTCTTTTTGTGATAGTCAACAAAAATAAGTTTCACAGACAACCCGTCTGCGTCGGGCCAGATATTCACATTGTTTTATACATTATTTTCTACATCATAACTCAACCATTGTTGGGTGGCTTTGCCAGATAAAAGATACAGTGACATGAATTGCCTTGATCTTTTCGCGCAAACATAAACACTATTGTCATTCCGAAATAATATTCCACAACAGTCCATGTGAACACGGTATGATATGGAAAGTAGACAATTTATATCTTGATGTATCCAAGATTCAAAGTGGTTCTAGTCTTTGATTCAGCTTTTCTGGGCAAAAGAATTCCTTACTGATTCGTAATGAGTTATGAGGGAGTCTGTATACATCAAATTATATATCTACTATCTCAGAGTGATCACATCAAGAATCACTTGATAACTACATTCGTACTTAATAAATACAGATACCTACTGCTACTGACAACTTCCACTGAAACATACTCTTACCCTGAAGTTTTGATGTATGAATTTGTTTGTCATTCAGGAATGCTCCTTGATTACGAATTCCATGAAATAGCCATTTCAATATCGGATTATAAACAACAGCTAGCTCGGGCTGTGAATCTGAAAAAGTGATAACGTTAACCTACCTCCTTGTTAACATAGTAAGCAATTGAAACACAAACAAAAGGGAACCTGGAAATTATTTGGAGGTGACATTACCTGCTAACAAAGTTCGAAGTTCCATCAATCGGGTCGATTATCCATGTAGGCGAACAAGTAAGCTCCGCATTCCCAGAATATCCTTCCTCTGCAATAATTCTAAATATAAGGCGCAACGAAATAAATACTTTTACTTGTGAGTAGGGAACGACGCAAGGATTTCCTGACAGATATAATTCTCAATAGCTTTATCCACTTCAGTTACCAAGTCAGCATATGATTCTTTTTTGTCATAGGGAATACTCTTTGAGAAGCCAGCCTCAATCATCTTTTCGTTTTGAGAAATAAGCATAAGGGTAGCGTACCTTGCCGGCTTTCACGGCCAGATTGTTAACGAACAATATGTCGGCCATGACTTTGTAATTATGATAAGTTTTGAAGGTTGCATGTCAGTGAAACTAGTAATTTCAAACACCGATCATTAGATATCAACAATGAAAATTTAGATAGCCTTAAAAATAAAATCTGTGTTTTGCTGATATATTTATCTTAAATCGTCTGATCCTTACCAAAAACACGATGATAACCTTGAAGAAACTGTAGATATAGAACGTTCTCCTATCATTTCAGGCTACTATTATTATTATTAATGGCTTTATTCAATATTATAATCTGATACAATATAGAATTCTCAGTACGAGTTAGTTCAACAAAATCTTTACCAAAAAAACAAACAGAAAAGGAATGAAAAAGGTTTAAGAAAATCTGAGTTTACACAAATTATCAAATTTGAAACATGCTTAAGAATACAGGTTATTTACTAGGTCAACTCTAACAGCCTGTTCGTCACAAAGTAAATTTGCTAAGTAGGGTGTCACAGAACTTTTATAGACTTGCTTGCGTGTATGGATTTTAATGTATTTACGTCTCGTTCTACCAGAAGATATACAAGGAGAAAGATATGAATGAAGCGGATGGTTAGTATCTGATAAGATAACACCTGCCAAGAGTTTGCAAGACTTAAGATGTCTATCCACAAGCATATTAATAATGACTTCAAAAGATTCACCACATACCTTACAAACCGCCTTCAGCACTCTACTCAAAACAGCAAAGTCTTTTCTCAAAAGCCCAGGAAAGAATAATGGAGAACAATATAGAATAATAGGTAATATGCAGGAATTTACAAATTGTAAGAGTAAATGGTAAGTAATCCCAAAAGCATGCAGCCTCTTTATGTAGTATGTCAAACGGTAAACTTTTTTCGATAACAGTAAAACATGAGAAGACCAAGAAAGATCAGAGGAAAAAATGGCACCAAGATATTTGACCTTCGACACTGTGTTTATTAAGGAGTCTCCAATGGCACAAGCATTATGTGATCGCGAAATAGAGTGTAGGTTCTGTCCATGTCTCAAGCTGAAATTAACAGCTTGACATTTAGATGGATTGAGTAAGAGACCATTACCAACACACCATCTTTCAAAACGAGATAAAAACTCATTCATTTCTATGGGATGTAAAGAGGTAGAAATCGGCATACATACAGTGAGGTCGTCCGCATATTTTACAAAAGTGTTTTCTGTGGAAGATGGAAGATCATGCAGAAAAAAAAAGAGCAAAGGTGAAAGAACAGCTCCTTGTGGCACACCTACATTAGACAGTAGAGATGTTGAACACTTTCCTCCAAATACAGTGTACTGTTCTCTTCCAGAAAGGTAGGGACATAGCCAATTGGTTATCCAGCTGTCAGTGTCGACGCTGATCAGCTTATTAAGTAAGAGGTGTCTTGGAATAGAATCAAAAGCAGGAAAGCGCATCTAACATACTTCTTACCCTTTTCCAACCCGAACACTATATTGTGATGCAGAACAGCAACGGCATCTAGTGTGCTTCTTTTGCATTTCTAAGCAAACTGATATGGATCACAGTGCTCTTTTATTGCAGGTTGAAGAGGTTGTATCAGTAATTTTTCCATTATTTTGAGGAAAGGTGAAGTTATTGCAATGGGTCTAAGTTTCACATTTTTATCACCAGAAGCTTTCTTTGGTATAGGGATTATCTTTATCTTTCTCCACATTTTCGGTAAGACATAAGTTGAGAAGGGTCTGTTAAAGATATTCGTTAATGGATAACATAAAACATCAGCACATTTTTTAAAAAGGAGGTTTGGGATACCATCAGGTCCTAAACATTGGGATGAATTAAGTGACTGGAGACATTTTCGGACATCATTTTCAGTGAAACTGGAAACACAATTGTTCTTCAGACCCTTGGATATAGGGAGCATTATGTCAGATGACTGACGTATAAAGGACTTATTTAAGTCACAAACATTCAGCTGGTTATCGCTTCTAGTCTTCCTGTTCCCTGTAATTTCTTTAAAGAGTTTCCATATACTTGGAGAGCTTTTACAAGATAGGAGTTTTTGAGTAAACACAGAGTTGAGACGTCTAATCTGTTAGTTTATTTGACCATTTAACTTACGAACTTCAGCAGTATTTTTCTCTTTGTACATCCTTTCTTTTACCCTCTGTAATCGTTTTAGTTGTGGAGATGTAAGTCGATCAAAACTTAGAAAGAAGGTTTCGGTAGGACAGTAAATATCAAAACAGAACTTAAGATAACAGGTGATAACATCAGTTGTGTTTTCTATTGAGTCATCTGTAAATAATTCCCAGTTGGTCGTACGAAACATGTTTTTTAGATTTTGTAAATTTTCTTCCGAGTAAATCCTGTATATTACTTTTATGGTATGGTGTATGTGTGTACTTTTTCCATGTTTACCATATACTCTAGGTAGGACACGAATTATACAGTGATCCGAGCTAGACAATGGAGCACGTTTGCGAGTCACATAGGTACCCACATCATTAATGGAAACCAAGTCTAGATGAGCATTCAAACGAGTAGGAAAATCTACTACATTTAGGTGACCTAGTGATGTAAGGAAGCTACAGTCACATGAATTGAAATCACCACATACAATTGAAAGTGAATCACCGAAGGCAGTAACGGCGAATTCAGTAAATTTATCAGCGAAGACAGATAGCGCAGATGATGTACAGTCTGGAGTCATGTAGATATTGGTAACATAAATATATTTGTATTTATTTAGGGTAATCATTAATAATCAGTTAATTGTAGCAACAATAATTTACAAACTGATGAAAGTACTACTTACATTTATGACTAACCGGTTATTTGATATTTCGTCTTAATTTTTGAGTAAAACAGAGATAAACACAAAGTTCCCGTATCTAGAATCGTTAAGTTATTCTTATTTTGTTACGTTGTTTTCTGGATCTTATCAAGGTCTAAACAGGGACGCTGAGGTTCAGTAAAGAAATCGGCATCCCAGATCAGCTCAATCCCACTATATTGTGGAACGCCTGGTGAACTTTGCGTAAATTTTGAGGTTTTCCCCAAAGTTGTAAGAAATATGGTAGTTGTCTCAAAAATTTGGGGAAAACCCCAAAATGTCCCCTAACATTTTGAGGATTTTCCTCAGATCCTGTGAAATGTTGAGGTTTTGATGGCATTTATCTAAAGTTGAACATAGCCGTTTCCCTAAAATTCATCCAAACCGGAAATAATTTTCCCAAAAATTGGAAGGTTAGGATGTTACGAAGAAAAAATCGACCCAGCGTACGTACTACAAGATACAGAGCTAAATCAATGTTCTTCTCAATGATTTTGTGGTTTTGCTGCAGCATAAAACTACTTTACTACGAGAACGTCCAATATTCGCGCAAACCATAGGACACCCAATATGCAGGTCTTGGAAGCCAATGCTTCCGAGACCTGTGTGGGTAGAACGTATGTCTCCAAAAACACCTTAAATGTGTGTTACACGAATGCTCGTAGTCTTCGGAATAAGATGTGTGAGCTAAATTTGATGGTAGACGACTTAAATCCGGATATAATTGTTACCACCGAAACTTGGCTCACTGTAGATATAGACTGTTCTCCATTCATTTCAGGCTACATCTGTATCAGAAGTGATAGAGTTAGAAGTCGCAAGGGAGGAGGCATAATATTATATGTTAGGGACCACTTAAGGCATCGATCCTGACGATAGATATAAAAATCACGTAATGATACTAAGCAATCATCCTGTAAGTCAGTCAACCAAGATTTTTGAATTGTGATGACATCACAATTACGATACATGTTTTGACTTAGCAGAAATTGAAGATAGTCCACCTTGTTAATTATTGATCGACAGTTAGAGTTAAGCAGCTCGGTAATCGACATTTGAATAAGGTTTATTCTTTTTAAAGCATATTGCCAACCACCACGATGTCTCTTTTTGTACTTGTTTGTAATTTTTGCAGCGAAAGGACGTAAGCTTTTCATAAACGCGACTGTATAGGTTATGCGATTAATAGACATAATGATAAGTTAAAACAAAATTAAAAAACCCAGAAAACTTGTTGAAATATTTAGATGGCAGAAACAGGTAGCCCAGGTATTCAAGCAGGCCGCCTTTACATCTGTATCGGAAGTGATAGAGTTATAGATCACAAGGGAGGAGGCATAATATTATATGTTGAGTACAACGTTCGCATACAATCGATCAAATCGGAGGCGCATGTTAGTGGTACGTGTGAGGTAGTATATTGTACAATTAGGTCTAGAAACGGGTTAGTGACTATAGGAGGAATATATCATAGTCCGTGTTGTCTTGCTGACGACTTTATCCTAAGACACGTCTGTTCTTAGAGTAAGGCAGAATGTTGTCTCATCGTTGGAGACTTCAATGCACCCCATATCAACTGGATATAGCCCACATCTTCAGGTGGGGGTTTCGATAGAGACTTTCTATCAACAATTATTCAGTGTGCACTTGTACAATGTATCGTAAAACAGACACATATTGACTTGGAACATGATTCGTCATTGCTGGACCTTTTACTCAAACATCACTGGGAAAATGTCGTCGACATTCAACACCTTCCCCCACTAGTGAATAGTGACAACGTCGTACTTTCCTTTAAGTTCCGGACACATGTTATAGAATGTGCATCTGCTCCGCCCCGTCCTAATATCTAATATTCCGGCAATCAGAGACTGTGCTATCTCGATTGGCTGGTCGGTCGGTGCTGATGGATCGATCGAAGACGAATGGAATAGATTTAAGGCTACGTTCGAATCCGTAACCCAACCGTTTATCCCATGGTCAGCACGTAAGCTATCATATTGCCCTCCATGGATTAGTAAGGAAACCCGGAAGTTGTTAAAGCGTAGGAAACACTTCTGAGATTTATTCTTGTCAACAGGACAGGCATCATTTAGGTGCGAATATAAAAAAATCCGGAATATATGTAAAAAGACCATAGCTGAATCCCGTACCACTTACGAACGACAGTTAGCATTTGATAGCCGTACCTGTCCGAAGCCACAGTTTTCATACGTTAAAAGGCGGACAAAACGTAGTGAAGGTATTCACGCGTTAATGTCAAACGAAAATTCAGATTTA